TTTACCCCGCCATCATCTTCTACTTCGCTCAGTTCTTTTCTCAAATAAATGTAGTCTTATAATGATTTCTTAAATTTACGCGAACACTACACATTGAATAAAACTAAATTTACGGATTTTATCGCGTTTATTTCACTACTTTTACTTATTTTTAATTCCCGACGTTTCGGGTGCTTTACAGCAACCATGTCAAGGGGGGGACTGAGATGTTTGACGTCCCAATGTCATAGTTAGTCCGGCTACCTTCAGTTTTTGAATATTAATTTTTGGTCCGATTTACGCAAAACGAGCTTATAGTATCATGAAGTCTTGCAGTGGTATGCTTAGGTTTGGGTTTAATTTTGTTAATTATAGGATCCCAAGCAGGTGGCAGCACCCATCCATCTTCTCTATTGAAATTTGGACGTTTTTTAATTTCAATAGCCTCGCGTATCATCCTTGGTAGGAATCGGTGTTCTTTTGCGAGAATTTGTGGTTTATCAAAACGAATGTAATGGTGGGGACGATCTTGAACATGATCGCAGACTGCAGACTTCCCGGAGCGTCGGTGCTTCACGTCAGCTATAAGTTCTTTCACGCGGGTTTTTATGGATCTTTTTGTTTGACCTATGTAAGAGAGACCACATTCACAATCTAACTTGTACACTCCTGCATCTTGTAGAGGGATATTACACTTGACGGATGGTAAAAATTGACTAATCTTCTTCGGCGGCTTGTAGTATGTTTTAATAGAAGCTCGCTTCAAGATGTAGCCAACCTTGTCTGTGACTCCTCTGACATATGGTAGTACAGCAGGTACACGCTCGACTGTGGCCGGCTTCACTCGGTCACTGTGACGTAGGCGCGGGATCCGAAGCTTGTTGTCTTGCAATACTTGCTTGACGTGCTGAAGTTCGGCGGCCAGATGTTTTCTGTCACAGATCCCTCGTGCTCTCTGAAACAAAGATTTACCCACGGTAGCTAACTGTGAAGGATGATGGTGAGATTCACTATTTAAATATCGGTTGGTATGGGTCTTTTTTCTATACACAGTGTGACCAATTGTGTTATTAGGATTTCGAATGACTAAAACATCTAAGAAAGCTAAAGAATTATTTTCCTCTAACTCCATTGTGAATTGTATTTTAGAGTTTATAGAGTTAAGGTGGTTTAAAAATGCAGTTACTTTGTCAGATGGTAAAATTGTGAAAGTGTCGTCTACGTACCGCTTGTAGAATCTTGGATTTACAGGAGCAGTAAGAAGGGCTTTTTCCTCGAAGTCCTCCATGAATATGTCAGCGACTATGGGAGATACAGGTGAGCCCATCGCCACACCATCTACTTGCTTGTAGAACTCTTCCTTCCACAATAGATAGCCAGATGTGAGGCAGTGTTTGAGTAATACTGCATATTCAGCATGCATGTTATTATATTCTAGCTTCCTAGTTACAATTGATATGCAGTCTTCAATAGGTAGGCATGTGAATAGTGACTGAACATCAAAACTGACCATAGTTTCATTGTCAGCGAGATGTAGGTCTTTTATCTCACTAACAAAATGGTATGAATCCTTTGTGTGTGCTCTGTTATGTCCTCTCAGTGGTGACAGTACTTTTGCCAAGTGTTGTGCCAGCTTATAAGTTGGTGAATCGATCTGGCTCACTATAGGATGTAGTGGAGCGTTTGGTTTGTGTATCTTTGGTAACCCATACAACCTCGGTGGTTTGGTACATGATGGTATTAGCGAATTAAACCACCTTAACTCTATAAACTTTAAAATACAATTCACAATGGATTTAGAGGCAAATAATTCTTTAGCTTTCTTAGATGTTTTAGTCATTCGAAATCCTAATAACACAATTGGTCACACTGTGTATAGAAAAAAGACCCATACCAACCGATATTTAAATAGTGAATCTCACCATCATCCTTCACAGTTAGCTACCGTGGGTAAATCTTTGTTTCAGAGAGCACGAGGGATCTGTGACAGAAAACATCTGGCCGCCGAACTTCAGCACGTCAAGCAAGTATTGCAAGACAACAAGCTTCGGGTCCCGCGCCTACGTCACAGTGACCGAGTGAAGCCGGCCACAGTCGAGCATGTACCTGCTGTACTACCATATGTCAGAGGAGTCAAAGACAAGGTTGGCTACATCTTGAAGCGAGCTTCTATTAAAACATACTACAAGCCGCCGAAGAAGATTAGTCAATTTTTACCATCCGTCAAGTGTAATATCCCTCTACAAGATGCAGGAGTGTACAAGTTAGATTGTGAATGTGGTCTCTCTTACATAGGTCAAACAAAAAGATCCATAAAAACCCGCGTGAAAGAACATATAGCTGACGTGAAGCACCGACGCTCCGGGAAGTCTGCAGTCTGCGATCATGTTCAAGATCGTCCCCACCATTACATTCGTTTTGATAAACCATAAATTCTCGCAAAAGAACACCGATTCCTACCAAGGATGATACGCGAGGCTATTGAAATTAAAAAACGTCCAAATTTCAATAGAGAAGATGGATGGGTGCTGCCACCTGCTTGGGATCCTATAATTAACAAAATTAAACCCAAACCTAAGCATACCACTGCAAGACTTCATGATACTATAAGCTCGTTTTGCGTAAATCGGACCAAAAATTAATATTCAAAAACTGAAGGTAGCCGGACTAACTATGACATTGGGACGTCAAACATCTCAGTCCCCCCCCGTGACCATGGTTGCTGTAAAGCACCCGAAACGTCGGGAATTAAAAATAAGTAAAAGTAGTGAAATAAACGCGATAAAATCCGTAAATTTAGTTTTATTCAAAATGTAGTCTTGCTTCAGGCTTGAAACTTTGACTAACACGCACACACCGTGTTTTATTTTAATAAAACACGGTTTTCCTTCTCTATCAAAGCATCGTTATCAATTCCTTTTGATGTACTGGGTTGTCCAAGTGAAAAGTTGTCCTTCACTGTTAATAAAGGTCATCATCAGTGTCAGAAGCGTAGACGGTGTTATAGAATGGGTTTCTTTGTTGATCGACTAAGTTGCCTATTTCTTTCATAAAATCTGGTTCACATTCATCAGAGCTTGATTTTTATCCACAGGCTTTAGTGGACGGTATTCTTTGGGATCCATGCAAGAACAAAAGCCGCGCCTGCAGAAACAGCTCAAGTCTCTATATTTGAGAACTCCTTTCTCTTCAGTGAACATCTGGTGAACTTTTATGGTGCCAGGTAATGGTAAAACATTGTCTGGAATCTCCATGGACCATATATTAATGTCTTCATCAGTAATAAAATGCATTTTTATTTTAATAATATCCTTTAAAGCAGAATAGAACATTGAGGCATCAGCAATATCCTGTCCACGTGCGACAACTTGATCAGCAGTGCGCTTCAAAAAGCCACCAACTCCGTCTGCTGCACCCTTGCCATGCCCTGCCTCGAAAAACTTCCATGTAACTCTATAGAAGTTATATTCAGAGAAAAATTTATTGCAAATCAGATAAAATTTTTGTTTTTGCCGGTACTGTGAGGCAGGCCCATCTGAGAACATGATTTTTACTTCTGTATAATTTTCTTGAATATAGATGGGATGAAGGTGAGCCCAGATTGCAGCTGGATTTTGAGTTACATTACCTGAAACGGTGCAAAAGGATGTCACCTCTACTTTATTATCTGAAACTCGCAGGTACATGACTCCAGTGTGTAAAGATACTTGATTTCGTGAACCTCCAAAATGATGGGCCTGTATTTCTTCGAAATATTTACAGCTATAATTCACACTGAAGTCAACATGTAATGCTACTTCATTTTCGGACAATTCGTCTATACAAGCTCTTTAGTTTCTGTATTGTGACTTTACGAGTATGTAATAAACGTGCCTCTTGAACTCTTGGAATTGAAATTTAAATACATCTATTAAAGATTTTAAAGTACTCTGCTTTTCTTCTTTTGTGTTTTTAGTAACTTTGTATTTTTTTTTCCAGCGTCTCTACAATTTCATTTTTCCTTTCCCATTGAATATACTTTACTATTAAGTCATCCTTTGTACTATCATATTGAATTTTCTTCAAATAACATTCAGAGCACAGTCCTGTCATACAAGCTAGTAAAGGAGACGAGCGGAAGTTCGTAGAAATGTGATGATGTTACAGCAACATTACTGTATTATTTCATGCCGTCGGCTTGACCATAATGAGATAACACTTACTGTATCTATCCATGTATTACCCATACATTCAAATAAATGCTTGCGTTCGTCTAGGTAGCGCCGTTCTCCCTCCGCAGGAGGCGGGGCGGTGAAGCGACGGCGCTCGCGTTCTCAGTACGCTTTTTCTATCCATGTGAATACACGTACTTCTAATATTAATAAATAAAAATCTTCGTCATTTTAATAAATAAAAATATTAACGATGCGTGTCGTTCGAGACTATTTGTTAAAGTATAATATTTAGTCGAATTGTTGTTGTTGCTGTGTGAATATTGTGTGTGTCATAAAAATTCTACCTTAATGGTAAGTTTGCTTCCAAATAATAAATACTATGTGTTTCTAGTGTTCTCCTCTCGTAACTTTGTAAGTAGTAAGATTTAAGTGTATCTACGTAATTATTTCTTAAATCTCCATACGACAATCACGTCTGTGGGATTGTTACACCTGTATTTGGGTGCCTACTTACATAATTTAATGTTACGAGAGGTATGACTTATGTTTTCTGCCTTATACTGGGTAACAATGTTAAAACTCGGTCTCCTTCAAACCAGTTTTACGGCTCAAGGCAACAGCCGTACGGCCCGATTTGAGGAGCCTAACGGCTCATTTCGAGGGGACTCACGGCTCAATTTGAGCGGCCCGATTTTAGCCGGCTCACGTCTCGATTTGAGCGGCCCAACGGCCCGATTTTAGCGGCTTTACGGCTCGATTTAAGTGGCCTTACGGCTCGATTTAAGCAGCCAGACGGCTCATTTTAAGCACAGATGTGGCTTGTTTCGAGCAGACATATGAATAACTTCTTTTATTTTTTTGTCGCAGATGGCAGTCGCAAAAGAGTCAGTGACATTAGAGTCTCTCTTGGAATGGGAACCTGATAGTTCGGAAGACGGGGAGATTTTAGAGAGAGTGAAAAGGTTGGCAGAATTGTATCTACCTGATGGATGGCGCCAGTGGAAAGTCGTTACTCATTCTAGAGCGGAGCTATTGGATGAAGTTACTGATTCCCAGATCTTAAACAAAAATAGATTCAGTCTGCCTACGGTGGAGCTTGCTAGAGCTTTTTGTCCAGATTGTACCTCGCTTCCGGAAAAAGCATATAAAGACATCAAAATTAAAATGCTTGAATGGCCTTTTTGTGTGGGGCTTATTATTGGACCGTCCGCACGTCCTCTTATTCTAGCACCGTCCATTGGTGCTAGAATAAGAGGCTCTGCTGTACAAAATGAATTAATCGTAGCCTCACTTACTGAACTCAAGCCTCTCTTGCTAAGTCGAAAAGACGCTTCAAAAGAGCTTGCTGACAGCGACGATGTTGGTGAGTTAACGACATTTCATTCTTCATCATCTAAGTCAAAGAAGTTGTCAAGAATGGACAAGTTGGAACAAGAGTTTGGTGATATGAAGGACATGTTTTCCAACTTTATGAAACGATTTGAACCCATCTCCGATAATGAGTCTGAGCCAGAAAAATCCTACGCTTCGTTTAAAGATGAACTTCGCAACAGTCAGTCTTTGCATAAGTCGGAGACTGTTAAATGGAAGGCGCCAGATCTACCATTAGAAGAGGAAGAAGATGACGATCCTGACTTTATTCCGCAAACTAAGAAACAATAACCAACAATGCCTACGCCAAAACCTCATATTGAGTCACAAGGTATTCAGTACCTAAGATTAGGAGAATTATCCTATAACCAGATCCGGTACGCTGAAGTGCAAAAGAAATTGCAAGCATTTCCAGTGTTCCATGCTTTAAAGCTGAATCCTACCCTAATGAAGATTAATAATTCCAGCGCTTCTTTGGACTCTCTAACAAAACAGGAAGCTTCCTTTGGGACGATACTGCATGGCTTATTATTACAGAGAGAGGCACTCACCAGTGTTGTAAAAGGCTTTTGAAACAAACATCCTTCCCTGCAGCAGGACCTCAAAGAGTCAGTTTACGGCACGAATTCAGCTTTCAAATGTGTTTCCGATGATGTACTGCAGTATATTTGTGGTCGCAAAGTCGAGGCAATAGAGCAAAGAAGAAGTGCCTTTCTACCGCAAGATGGCTCTCTTTCAACTTTATTGAATGATATTCCGCCATCTTCAACACACCTTTTCGATGAGAATAAATTTTCAGAGCTCTTAAAACAACCCTCGTTTCAAGGATTTTTTTTCGGGGTTCCACCACATCATATTCCTCGTTTAAGCCCAAATTTCAACCAAAAGAAACTTCAAGTTTTGAACAACGTAAAAAAGCCCATACATCGTCCAGGACGCCATTCAAACCCCGCTCACAGCAGTTTAAAGGTTCTAAAATGGAATCCTGGAAGACTAATTCTAAGAGAGCCCCAAAGCGAAGTTTTAATGCTCGCCCCAAGGACAAACCTTCATTCTACAGCGAGTTAAGTTCTAAATAACCAAGACAATCCTGACCTGCAGGATTTCAAAGGGGGGAGATTGAGCAAATTCGTGAGCGTCTGGCAAAAAATGGGAGCACCTCCAGGGATTCTGAAAATATTAGAGGGATATTCTATCCCCATCGTGGTAAAACCTCCTTTTACCCCTCTGACAGGAGTTTGCCTAGAGATGTTTGCTTCCACGGGACTGGACGCAGAGATAGATGTCGTGATTTCTCAGAACATTTTGGAACGCTGTCTTTCACCCCTAGGATACCTTTTCAAGCTGTTTCTAGTTTTAAAACCAGACGGCAGTTTTCGCCCTATTATAAACCTTCGAGGGTTAAACAGGTTTCTACGGCCAAAGAAATTCCGTCTTCTAAATCATTTTCGAGTGCCAGAATTTCTACAAGAAGGGGACTACCTCTCGAAAATAGATATTTCCAAGGCGTATTTTTACTTACCAATAAAACTGCAACACAGAAAGTTCTTGGCAATATTTCATCGTCACAGGATACTTCAGTTCACTTGCCTACCTTTCGGCCTAGCGACAGCTCCCATTACATTTGCAAGAGTGTCAAACTGGCTGGCAGGCCAGCTCAGAGAGAGAGGAATAAGACTAATAGTTTACCTCGACGACTTTCTCTTGGCCAATCAACACCCGAGCGAATAAGAGAAAGATATCCAATTCACAGTCAGGTTTTCGCAGGATCTCGGATGGATATTAAATATAAAAAAATCTCTGAATCCACCAACCCGTTGCCTAGAATACTTGGGATTAATGTGGGATACTCAGAACAACAAAACAATTTTGCCCGACAGAAAGATCGTGTTTTTAAAGAAGGATCTAGAGCAAATAACAAGGTCGGGAACCTGGAGTTGGGTCAGCGGGAAAAGACTTGTCGGAAAGTTAGCTTTTGCATCTTTCACAGTTCCTCTGGGAAGACTACATTCGAGACATCTGCAACGTGCAGCAAGAAACTTACTCCAACATTAAAAGAACCACAAATATATTATCTAGACGAAAGCACTCCAGGAATGCTTTTGGTTGTTGGAAAACCTTCAGAAATATCGACCAATCTTCGCCAGCCGAAACGATATTTGTGACAACAGATGCTTCGAACACGGGTTGGGGTGCCCAGGTCAACAAAAGACTCCTCAGCGGACTTTGGAAGACCAATCAAACTCTGTGGCATATAAATCGCAATTTATCAAGCAGTACTTTTGACGCTAGCTCAACTGAGGGGGAAACGCGTAGTAATTCAATCGGACAACAAAACAGCGGTTTCCTACATACGGAATCAAGGTGGAACCAAATCCGTTCTACTGACAGAACTAGTGTCAAAGATTCCGGAACTCGCCTACGAGAACGAAATCGAAATTTTTGCCTACTACATACCGGGAGTCTTCAACGAGATGGCAGACAGCCTTTTACGTCAGAAGCACCTGGCGGATTGGCATCTCCGGAACAAAGTGACGGACCTACTATTCAAGAAATGGGGAACTCCTCAGGTCAACCTCTTTGCCACTGCCTTCTCGAAAGTTGTACCGATTTATGCGTCTCGAGACACAACAGACACAGGTGCTCTTTTTATAGATGCTTTTAGCAGAATCTGGGACTTCGATCGATCGATTTTCCCACCGCCAGGACTGATGCCTCGTGTGCTGGCACACTTGAACAAAGCAAAGGGCACTTACATCCTAGTTGCGCCAAGATGGGAACGTGTTTTTTGAAGGGCAGATCCGAGACGAAGAGCACTGGACCGTCCGATTTGCATTCGAAACTTACAGCATCATCTATCGGATGCGACACAGAACATTCCTCTCCCGGACGCGCGAAATCTACGCTTGGAGGCCTGGTTGATACGGGGTGGTCAGAAATCACATCTTCATGGGCCCAAGAAGACTTTGAATTACTCAAAGGATCTTGGAGAAAGTCTTCTTTAAAAACGTATGCCGCATCATGGAAACCTTGGGTAACGAGATGTAATAAAATGAACCTGGATCCGAAGAAACCTGATCCAGCTGATGTAGCCCAATATCTTAGTGTTTTACATAGAGTAAAACACGTCGCACCTGGAACAATAAAATTACACAAATCTGTTATAGCCACTATGGCCGATCCCTTAAGAAGGGAAGAAATTTCAAGTCACCCTTTGGTGAAACATATTATTCGAGCAATAGAGAATTCTCATCCTTCATCGTCAAAGAAATGTATCTGGGATGTCGAACAGCTGATTGCTTGGATGAACACCTCAGTTATTAATGAAGATAGTTTACTTGAAGTATCCCGCCATGTGGCACTGATTCTTTTGCTGGCGTCGGGTAGAAGAATACACGATCTTACCCTTCTAAGGATTGATGATGATCATCTAAAGCTGAGTCAGGATTCCGTTACCCTTTGGTCTGTATATGGTTCAAAAACAGATAAGATTAATCATCAACAATCAGGTTGGCATTTGTCTAAAGGTTCGATTAAGTCTCTAGATCCCATATATTGGGCGAAAAGACTGATTGATTTGTCAGCCTCTAGAAGACAAGCAAGAAACAAATTGACATCTTTGTTTGTATCTACACGCGGAATTCTAAAGTCTGCAACTAGAGCCACAATTGCAGGATGGGTAAAATCTGCTTTTAAGCACCTTGGTATTGATTTTTCGCCTGGAAGTATAAGATCTGCCGTAGCCTCTTCAAGACAGGAGAACAATGTTCCTTTAGATATAATCATTAAAAATGGAAATTGGAAATCTGATAAAACTGTCTTTAAGTTCCACTTTAAAGAGATAATTAAAAAGTCATCTGGTGCTCATCCAGTTAATTAAAGACTTAGTTTGTTCTAATTTTAAAGCTATCTAGATTGTTTTATTGTTTACTTTTTTTTAATAAAAAACAGTTGATTTACATACACGTTAATTTTATTTTAAAACTATGTATTATTCACAGTACGCTAGTACTGCGTCGTCAGAAACTAAAAACCTCTCATTATGGTCAAGCCGACGGCACAGACCATGAAATAAGGAACGTTTTCCCCCCAAAGGGGAGAAAACGATATATTATATGTCTTGCCTAGCACATATAATGCCGTGCTAACAAATGAACTAAACTTTTTTTTTTTTGTAAAATACGTTCGTGAAATGTGAGGAATGTCTTATTTCACTATTTTCGCCACATTTTACATATACATATGGCTGACGCGGCGCCACTGTAATAAAATTCACAATGGGGCCGTGTCAACCATTTTGTCAGCCATTTGATTTCAAAACCGCGCGAAAAGAGCGCGTCGCTCGCCGCCACCGGCGCCATTTTGATTTTATATTGTCGTGTGTTTGCCCCCCGCGCGTCATTCGTCGCTGTGCATCGAAGGAGACTGCAGTAAATAGTTGTTCAGTGAGTGATTTAGCAAGTTATACGTTACTGATTTGTGATTTTCAACAAAAAATTGAAGATTTTGATGATGATTTAGACTACGAACTATCGCAATTAGATTTATCAGAGTATAATCAAGAATGTAACACATTATCGAATAGTGATACCCTACAAGTATTTGACGTTGATCTCCATGAGACAATATCAATCGCACGGACCAAAAATCATCATCGATGGCAGATTTTATCTGACAGTGAAGATGATCAGATTCCCATATTACCGCCCTCACGAAATACAGAAGTATGGTTCAATCCGTTGGGTAAGCAACCAAGCATTATTCCATTTACTGAATGTCCTGGGCTTAAGCCATTTTCATTGCGATCCAGCATGAGTTCAGCTAAACCAGCAGAATTTCATTCATTGTTAGTGGTATTCCTGATAGTATATTCAAGTACATAGCCGAAGAAACAAATCGCTTTGCTTTACAAACCTTGAACAAAAGTGCAACAAAATCATACCGAATGCAGAAATGGGCACCATTTCACAGATGATGCCATACAGATTGCCATGAAATTAAACGCTTCTTTGGCGTTTTGATTTGGATGGGGATAGTGAAACTACCCCAACTATCTTTGTACTGGAGCACTAACAAATGTTTTGAACAACAATTTGTTAAGTCCATTATGAGCCGAAATCGATTCGAACTCATATTGAGGATGTTGCACTTTGCCAATAATGAAATAAATCACAATAAGGACGACCGATTGTTTAAAGTTAGACATTTATTAGACATGCTGAATGCTAATTTTAAATGTCATTATACACCTAATCAAGAAATGTGTGTTGACGAAAGTCTAATACCATTTCGTGGCCGCGTTTTTTTTTAGGCAATACGATAAAAATAAGCGACACAAATATGGAATAAAACTTTTCAAGCTGTGCTCAAATCCAGGATACACTGTAAAAGTGCAAGTTTATGCTGGCAAAAACTATGATAATGTGAATACTACACAGACTAATGTTGTCCTTGCCTTATGTGACGATTATCTAAATAAAGGACATACTGTTTGCACAGATAATTTTTTTTTTTTGGATTTAGCACGAAAACTATTAGCAGGACAAACTCACCTCATAGGCACGCTTAGAAAAAATAGACGAGATTTACCTCAAACAGTTGTCCAAACCAAACTGAAGACAGGAGAATTCTCAGCTCAAAAAAATGACGACGGAATAACAGTTATGAAGTGGAAGGACAAGCGGGATGTACTGCTGCTGTCTACTAAGCACTCCGTTAGTTTCAGAAGAATAACTAAAAAAGGAAAAGAAAAAATAAAACCGAAGATTGTGCTAGATTATAATCATGCGAAATCAGCAGTTGATCTGTCAGACCAAATGTCCTCTTACAGGACTCCCCTTCGGAAGACAACGAAATGGCCCAAGAGATTGGCGATGGAGCTATTACTGAATACAGCGATTGTAAATTCATATATTTTATATAAATTAACAACCAAGAAGAAGCTCTCTGTCGTCCAGTTTAGAACCGCGTTGGTTGAATACCTCGTTTATACAGGAGTCCCGGAAACTAGAGCCTCCGCTAGACCTAGGCGAGTAAAGCATGAATTGAAGAAGAGGCAAGGGTTGGCCTCTGCCTGTCGTAAATATTGTGTTAGGTGTTATAAAGAAAACTGTGCCCAATTCGGAAGAGTTCATGCTCGAAATAAAACCAAAAGAGTGGTAACATACTGCGAGCATTGCCCGAATGAACCACACTATTGTATCAACTGTTTCAATTTAGACCATATGTTTACGACCTACCGTCACTTTATTTTATATTTTTGTTCACGCGATTTGTAATATGCATTGTCATTGTGTCATCTTAGCGTCTGAGTATTGATCACATCTAACATAAAAATTTGTGTTGTAATTAATATAAACCTGTGCTAAAGAAAGTAATGTGTACTTAAATTGCTCATTGTTAACATTCAAGTTGAAGGAAATAAACCGAAAGTTCATATGTATGCAGTTTTATCATTTCACAATTTCAATTGGTGTTAACAAAAAAAACGTAGATGAAAGCCATCAGCGATACATAAAGAGGGAGTTATAATCATGGTCCTTACGATTGCCGGATATAATATATAACGATACTGGAGAATACTGGCTTTGGAGTTATGACAATATCGAAGTAATTATTGGTGGATTACGACTAATACGTGACATCGAGCTGGGTGTTCTATCATCGTGTTACGTGTCTTCACATCTGCACCTGGAGGTTATTTTGTGTATAAGTGCTGTAAGTGAGTAAATAAGTGGACAAACCGTGAGTACATTCGAGATATCGTAATAATTGGACTTTAATATATTGGGACTTTAAGTGTAAATCGTATATAAAACTTGCTAATTGCTATTACAAAATAAATTGATTTGTACTTTAAAGATTGATGTAATGTGAACTTGTTATATAGTTCAAGGTTACGTGTTTAGCTGAATCTTAAAACAATTGTAGTTAAATAATTAAGTACTTAAGTATTATAATCTGTGAATAAGTACGTGTCACTTTATGAACATTGAATTTATAAAATCTATTTCGGATTTTCTATAGTAAATATATTTGATTTATTAGATTATATATTTTAAATAGGTATTTCACGTTGAGATTTTTATAAAGTTTTTTTTTATATTAATTTCGTTTATTGTAAAAGATGGAAGCTTATATTAAAGTGCAAAACAATATATATGATCAAATTACAAAAGCTAGATCTAATTTTAAGAAATCGCCTAAAGAACGTTTAGCGAATGATGCGTATTTATCGACAAGATTGGATTCGCTTGAGGAACTTTGGTCTCAGTTTTTGCAAACTCACACGCAAATTATTCAAGTTTCGGAAAGCGATAAATTGAACGCTACTACTTATGTCAAAGCTGATACATATGGCAATTGCGAAGAACAATATATCGATTATAAGTATGAGTTGCGGGAAGCTCGAGCTAATTTAACTGTTAAGTCAACCACTGTACATCATGCGCCAGATGGCAGCACCACAGCTACAGATTCGAATCAACAAGGTTTTAAATTACCAAAGATTGCTATCCCACATTTCTCCGGGAAATATGCAGAATGGACGAGCTTTCGAGACCTATTTTTGTCACTGGTACATAGTAACCCTACATTGGATAACGTTCAACGCTTACATTATTTAAAATGTCAACTCACTGGAGAAGCGGAACAGTTCTTGCGACACATACCAATAACTGCAGAAAATTATAATTTATGTTGGAAACAGCTTGAGGATCGGTACAGCAACAAAAAGTATCTTGCCAATTGTATCTTAAAGAAATTTATGAATCAAAAAACTGTAACAACTGAATCAGCTACAGCGTTACGAGAAATATTAGATACTACTAATGAATGTATGTTTGCACTTAAAAATTTGTTAATAGATGTAAGTACTTGGGACACTATTGTTATTTATATTGTAAGTTTAAAATTAGATTCCGAGTCCCGTAAGCAGTGGGAATTGCAAAGTAGTAAAAATTGTAATTTATTACCAACATATAAAGAATTTATAGAATTTTTAGAAATCCGTTCACGTTCATTAGAATTTATTGATCCTAAGGTAGCTAAACAAAATAGTCAACAATATAGAACTAATGTTACTCCGAAAGCGTTTCATATTTCAAATTTAAAATGTATTTATTGTTCTGATGATCACCATTTGCGAAATTGTAAAAATGACTGATACTCGACGAAATTTTGTCCAATCACAAAATCTTTGTTTTAATTGTCTTGGTGCAGGTCACAATGTATATTCGTGTCGCCAGTCTTCCAGGTGTCGTATTTGCAAGAAGAAACATCATTCCTTATTACATCCCAAAAATGTATCGCTCCCGTCGGGGCCTCAAATGAGTGAGGCAGAACCAGATGCTAAGGAAGCAACAGCATCTACATCAACACAGGTAAAAAATATTAATAATATCAGAGCCTGCTTTTCGCGTTTCAGTGGACAAGTTTTACTTGCCACCGCATTAGTAAATGCCAGATCACACACAGGCTCATTGATCACGTTACGATGTCTCATTGATCAAGGATCGCAAGCTTAATTTTTGACTGAAGCCGCTGTTCAACTTCTTGGGCTAAGAAAGATTCCACACAAAAGCTCCATTATTGGTTTGGGTAGTGACCACTCAAGTTCTGTTGCCTCTAAAGCGAGGGTAGAAATTGAGATTAAATCACGCCATTGCAACTTTAAAATTTGCGTCCAAGCTTTTGTGCTCAATAAGCTCACCTCAGTACTTCCGGAAAGGAATGCTGTTGTTAATCTTAATCCTGAAGTTTCTAAATTAGTTTTAGCAGATCCTTTCTTTGCAACACCAAATAAAATTAACATGCTCCTTGGAGCAGATGTTTATGGTCAGATTTTGCTTGAAGGTCTGATCAAGAATTCACCCAGTGCATTAATCGCACAAAATACACAGCTGGGTTGGATTCTATCGGGTCCAATTCAGTCCAGATCGAGCTCCAGCACTATTTGGTGCAATCATATTCATCAAAATGATGAATACGAACTTATGAAGAAGTTTTGGGAGCTTGAATCGGATCAATTCGCCTCTGATAAATCACTTCTTACAGAGGAGGAAATTAAATGTGAGAGTATATACACATCAACTACTAGGAGAGATAGTTCAGGACGCTATATAGTACATTTACCATTTCGAACCGATGATCCAAATTGCAAATATGGTAATTCAAAGGCTATTGCAATAAAACAATTTAATCGGCTTGAGAATAGTTTATTAAAAAATCCCAAGCTTAAGGCTGAGTATGCTGCTGTCATAAAAGAATATAAAAATTTAGGTCACGTGGAAACTGTGCCATCTCATGAAGAAGATTCGGCTGATGCTGTATACTTACCTCACCATGCAGTGATCCGAGAGGATAAGGATACTACCAAGGTCCGAGTTGTCTTCAACGCTTCTTGTCCAGGAACCAATGGCATCACATTGAATGACGAACTTATGGTAGGCCCATCACTACAACCTGACTTACGTCACATTATAATGCGTTGGCGTCAATATCCAATTTGTCTTGTCGCTGACATTATAAAAATGTACAGACAGGTGAAAATATCTGAATTACATACAAATTTTCAACGTTTTGTGTGGCGCGAAGATCCAGATCAAAGACTGCAGCATCTGCGCCTCTTAAGAGTTACCTTTGGTACGGCTTCAGCACCTTATCTCGCTGTGAAATCATTACAGCAAGTTGCACACGACGATGGCACGAAGTATCCGCTGGCTGCTGAAAGGGTACTTCGTGAATTTTACATGGACGATTTTATGTCGGGTTGCTTTTCTGTGGAAGAAGGTAAGCAAATTTATAAGGAAATAACTCAGCTTCTACAAGGAGGTGGATTTGTCTTGCAAAAAATGGAGCAGTAATAGCGAAGAAATACTTAAAGAAATTAATGAAGATGTTGAAGATCAAGCAGAAAACCTGAAACTAAAAATAAATGAAATCATGAAAATTTTAGGACTTACCTGGAACAGAAGAACCGATGAATTTGAATACGTAGTAAAGCTTCCACAGCTCTCTCCTCCTGTAACAAAAAGAAAGGTTATTTCAGAAATTTCTCGATTATTTGATCCTGTTGGTTGGCTTGCGCCAGTAATAATTACAGCCAAAGTCTTTATACAGAAATTATGGCTCTCGGGAATTGAGTGGGATGATGAACTTCCTCCACAATTACTGAAGGACTGGCTCAAGTATAGAAGTGAATTAGATTCACTTACCAAATTTAGTATCCCACGCTGGATCAACATCAATAATGATGATAAAGTTCGCGAATTGCATGGCTTCTGCGATGCTTCAGATGTTGCATTTGCGGCAGTTGTGTACTTGCGAGTGGTTAACTCCAATGGGGAAGTTAATGTTGCATTAATTGCTTCCAAAACAAAGGTAGCGCCCATTAAACAAGTTTCGATTCCGAGATTGGAGCTTTGTGGAGCTGTACTACTCACAAGACTGCTACTTGAAGTGTCTCAAGCCATGGGTATGGAGAAATGTTCTATTCATGCGTGGACCGACTCACAAATTGTGCTCGCTTGGCTTCAAGAACAACCTAGTCGTTGGAAAACCTTTGTCGCCAACCGTGTGTCGGAGATTATTACTTCGCTGGAACCGCAGCAATGGCAACACGTATCTACCAAGGATAATCCTGCAGATTGTGCATCGCGCGGCAGTACGCAATGGGATGTTCAACTCTGGAAGGAAGGGCCGAAGTGGCTGCAAGAAAAGGATATAAATTTTGCAAGAGGTCAAATAGAAGATACAGATCTAGAAGAAAGAAAAACGAAAATTTGTTTAATTAATACTCACAGTGATGAAGCAGATCCCGAAGAAGAAATATACTCACGGTTTTCATCTTTGAGAAGACTGCTCCGCGTTACTGCACTCTGTAAAAGACTAATTAAAAGAATGAGAAAAAGGGAAGTAGAGGATCAGAAGGATTGGATAACAAGTTTTGAAATTAGAGAAAGTTTAAAAATATGTGTTAAAAGATGCCAAGAAAAACATTTCGGTGAAGAGCTTGCAGATTTAAGAAATAAAAAATAAATAAATAAGAAAAGTAAGCTTACCTCACTCAATCCAACAGTTGACGAAGACGGTATCCTACGAGTAGGTGGCAGACTGCAGCAGGCAATCCTTAGTGATGAGAGAAAACATCCTATCATTCTTCCTCGCAAATCACAGTTTACAACTTTGATTATTGCGGATGCTCATGAGAGAACATTTCACGGCGGTCCCCAATTGATGCAAAATTATTTGCAATCAAAATACTGGATAATAGGTGCGAAGGATTTAGTACGACTGTGTGTTCGTAAATGCGTCCGTTGTGTACGATATGCCGCTCGCATAAGACACCAGTTAATGGGACAACTACCGGTTGAAAGATCTACTGCTTGTCGACCTTTCTTAAAGAGTGGAGTAGACTATGCAGGGCCTATTAATATAAGAACCTCTAAAGGCAGAGGTAATCGGTCATTCAAAGGATATATTTGTTTATTCATTTGTATGGCCACACGTGCTATCCATCTCGAAGCAGTAAGTGACCTTACAGCTCAGGGATTTCTAGCAGCGTTTAAGCGTTTTATAGCACGCCGTGGTCATTGCGCTGAAGTATGGAGCGACAATGGGACAAATTTTGTGGGTGCAGCACGAGAACTCAAATCTTTATATGCTCATGAGAGGTCCAGTATAGGGAAGGAAATTGCAGATCAACTGGCTACAAATGGGACTGAATGGCATTTTATCCCTCCCCATTCCCCAAATTTTGGAGGACTATGGGAGGCAGGGGTAAAATCGACGAAACATCATTTAAGGCGCATTGTTGGCAATTCAACTTTGACATTTGAAGAAATGACAACATTACTTTGTCAAATAGAATCTTGTCTGAATTCTCGGCCTATTTCTAAAATTACTGAGAATCCAGACAATCCAATCCCACTGACACCAGGGCACTTTTTGGTGGGAGAACCTATGGTTTTACCCCCTGATGTCAATTACGAAACATCTAATATCACAAATCTCAGACGGTGGCAAATGACTCAAAAAATGACACAAGATTTTTGGCGTCGTTGGTCAAATGAATATTTGACTCAGTTTTACCATCGTTATAAATGGAATAATATTGTTCCTGAACCTACAAATGGAGATTTAGTGTTAGTAGTGGAGGATGATCTTCCACCTGGAAGATGGTTATATGGTATTATAGTTGAAAAACATCCCGGATTGGACGGAATTACGCGAGTTGTCAGTCTAAAATGTAAAAACAATGTAATTAAACGACCTGTTTCTAAATTGTGTTTTTTGCCAATTACCAACTAATGTTGATTTTTTTGTTGGCTCTCGAGCCTCATATGATCGTTTTATCACGTATTAGTAAGAAAGCATGCAATGTGGTAATATTTTATTTTGTATTTTTTTTGTGTTTGATGTTAAATTCTCGTAAAGATTTTCGTTAGTATTCATGTTTTGATCGGTTAGTTGTCTTAAGGAAAATTTTTGAAAATTTGTCCTTGGTGGGCTGTATGTTTACGACCTACCGTCACTTTATTTTATATTTTTGTTCACGCGATTTGTAATATGCATTGTCATTGTGTCATCTTAGCGTCTGAGTATTGATCACATCTAACATAAAAATTTGTGTTGTAATTAATATAAACCTGTGCTAAAGAAAGTAATGTGTACTTAAATTGCTCATTGTTAACATTCAAGTTGAAGGAAATAAACCGAAAGTTCATATGTATGCAGTTTTATCATTTCACAATTTCAATTGGTGTTAACAAAAAAAACGTAGATGAAAGCCATCAGCGATACATAAAGAGGGAGTTATAATCACCATAGATATGTTTGAGTTAAACGTGTTTGAACGTGATGATTGATGTAGGTTTGATTTATTACGTTGCCAATGCCAATTTAAATATGAATAAAAGCATTTAAAACATTTACCCACACGTATCATTTGCAAAAAACTAACCATTTTTCTTATCACCCTTTTGTTTTCGAAACTTCTGATTAAAAAATTGATATTACTCAAAATGTAAGTAAAAGTATTGATGCCATCACTATAGTTATAATTCACCAGGCCTTGTCAACCATATTACATACAGTTTAACATGAAAAACATGGCTGACGACGAAAAATCGCACTTTCAAAACATGCATATTCCGTCAGCCACATATGGCTGACACGGCTCAATTGGTTTGGAAAATGTCAGCCATATGTGGCTGACGAGGCATTATATGTGCTAGGCTTGACCAGGATAAGCTCTTGACGACTAGTGAGAGGTACCGAGAACGCGAGCGCCGTCGCTGCACCGCCCCGCCTCCCGCGGAGGGAGAAGCGTCCACGACGGCGCTACCTAGACGAACGCAAGCATTTATTTGAATGTATGGGTAATATATGGATAGATACAGTAAGTGTTATCTCATTATGGTCAAGCCATGACATGAAATATATCGTTTTCTTCCCTTTGGGGGGAAAACGTTCCTTATTTTATTTATATATCAATACCATTTTAAAAAAACTAAAATGTTTACGAGTGCTTCATGGTAGAAAAAAAATATAGGTTATTTTGCTTATGCTATGCATGGAATGTTATTCTCACACCAAGCTCTCACATTACACTTTAAGAAAATAATTATTAGACTTTATTGTAAACTAGACTTCACCAAAATCTTATGTATTGTTGGACATTTTCAAATAGAAGATTCAGACGCCGCCGCCCAACTAAATTCTAGAAGTTTGAAATAATTACAAAAAAGCAGAAGCAGGATGAATTAACACTTTTAACTGCCGACCGTTATAAAGGTGGCCGTTCCTGGTACGCCGGCGATTTTTGCCGATATTCTATAACTCATAAAATAAAAACTATTTGTGATATGTCTATTGTTCTTTTTTTATATGTACAATTGTTCTTCATATTTTGAGGGATGAAATAAAAAAACACGAATAATAATGGAAAATATATATATGAAAAAAATTTACAAAAGAGGTCTACGAGCGAAATAAAACCCCAACATAAACATTCTTACATACTTCAGCTAACTTAATAACGTAAATTTTTTGTGTGTGGAACATTTTGAAGCAGGGATAGTAGCATAAAAGAACATTGTAGTCTGGGCAGTAATAAATAGTCTCTTTGCGCCCCTTTTTTCCGGTTTCTATTTCTTTTTTTTGAAATGTCGGCACACACTTTGCAAACTCGTTTAGCGACCCCGGCTTTGACCCTCTTCTGGTTCAGATACGTTTTCTGACACGTCAGCATCATCATTTTCTTGATCTTGGACCGATAACACCTCTTGTAAGTCTTGAATTACCTCTGGAGAGAGAAAACACCAATAAAAATCTAGACTTCACAAAAAAGGTATATTCGAATAAAAATACAATAATAAAATACAACAATTTACCTTCAATTTGAATTTCCGGGTCTTCCTCAATGACTGAGTCAACAACATTTACCAAAACATCAAACATTTCTTTAGAATCGAGCCGCCAACTACGCCGAGCGGAAGCCATTTCGCGCCAAAAGGACGTGCTCTCACGTTGGTGGCGTGGGAGCACTGGCGATGCACGCTGACGCTGAAAGATCGCTTGTCCTGCCTCCACCCCGCACCTCCCGTCGGTGATTCATACATGTGAGTGTAGCTAAAGAGTCATTCTACACCGGGGTTACACGCCAATCACGCAACGAGAACGTGATTTTTAAACGGACGATAGGAAAGTCAAAGCCGTACGGAGTACGTGATCGGCGTCCCGAGTTGATCGACACTGCCCGTACACAGTACGTATACGGCTGTTAAAGTGTTAAAAACATTTTCTCTTTTAATGATTTATTAATCGTCCACTTCATCATAAACAAATAAAATATTGTCTAAAAACTGTGCAGGCGGTATTAAATTATCTTGACATTACATGACAACAGCAACCTACAGTTCTTTTTCCTACCAAAGAATTGAAATAATACTGTTTGATGATATCTCTACCATTAAGAGGACTGTCAACTAAAATATATGTGTTTGAGCTTAAGTATATGTCTCGATTTTATTCGACCTCTCAATAGCCAGCTAGAATGATTGGATAGTACCATTCTAGGTGGCTATTAAGAGAATAAAGAGAATTCACTTACTATGTTGCTGTCCTTTTCTAGACACACTTCTATTTCATATCTCCCATCTTGTATGTGTTCACCATAATGGGACCTAGCCCACTTAATTTGATAAATACCTAAAGATATTTTTATTAAATTACTGTGTGAGCTGGGGAAAATCATTTATCATTTTGCACATGTATTCTTGTAAAATCAGAAAAGAAACCGTCAGAATGCTTTATACGTAGCCAGAGTCGTTAAAGATGGGAATATTATTACAGCACAGAAAAACAACAGAAAATATTCACTACCACCGCAAATTCAAAGCCAAACAAAAGTTCTCTATATAAAAAAGTACTCTGTGAACAAAAGTAACAAATGATTTGAGTGACGTTTTTAGTTTTTAAACCGTCGACTATTCCTTATTTTAAACGACTTTTCCGCTTTGTGGCCGGTATAAAACATTGATAATCGATTTTGAAATCAATTTATTAATTTATTCAGTCAATTTATTTTTACGACTATTTTGAAACGTTAAGGTGTCACGAGGGAACCATTATTTAAATAAGAAGTTTCTTAAACTTACCTAAAGAAGAAAAGACTGAATCACTTTTTATTGTCTTTTATCTATTTTTGTATTAAAATCGATTAACTAACCTATTTCATCTGGCAGCATTGTTTAAAAATAAAAATAACGGAAGTCAGTATTATTCTTATTAAATATTTAATTTCTTTTGCCATGATAAAACTGCTTAATATTTCATTATTAACTACAAAAAAACTTTAAAAAATATTGATAAATATTTCACTTGTGTAACGTTAGGCCCAAATTCGCCCGTCTCCTTTTCATCGCATGTTTTTTCTTTTGTAATTTTATTTAAATCTGTGGTCGGAATTACTTTATTTTTACACAAAGCAATAGCCAAGTACTGAACGTTTGTGTGCAATCGACATAAACACGTTTCTCTTTCAGCAACAGTAGGAAGAATTACATAAGACGGTCTGCATCGAGTAAAAGTAGTGTAGGAGCATTTAGGATTTTCTCGTTTAAACGAAGCAAAGAGGTTTTTCATGCTGTCCAGTTGGTAACGTTTTTGCATTTTATTTTTCTTATGGGTAACGGTTTCTTTTTTTTCCGCAGTTGCTTTCGATACATCATCACGATTAAAAAAAAATTAATTTTGTCACTTACAACTTTTTCCTCAGCTTTGGTTATTTCTTTCTTATGTAACCTTGATCCACATTCAAGCACTCTTTTATTATTTGCATTTTCTTTCTAGAACATTTAACTTCCTTCTCCTCAAATATTTTTTGGATAGCTATCTTTTCTTTCCGACTTTTAACTTTTTCATAACGTTTTTTAATAGCTTTCGCCAATATGTTATACTTATCTTGACTTTTACAATCATCGCTTTCATTTTTCGACCCTTTTTGTTTTCATCTATTATATCTCTTCTTGTATTTTCATATTTTTTATTTATTTCTTCAATTTTTTCTTTTAATCTTTGCTTTTCTCTAAACAGTTTTGTTCTGTTTCTTTTTACTTGTTTTTGGCCCCGTTTTGCTGCAGATGTCGTTGAACAAGGGCTACTTTCATGGGGAGTCGATAGTTGAGGGGTTGATAAACGGCGATTCGACGGTAGAACTCGTGGCAGAACCTGGTTTGGACCCAGCGAAGTTGGAGTACGTGAACGTGGAGTCATAATTCCTGGTGAAGATCCATTACTAAACGAAGAGCCTTGGCCCGGTCCCTCCGTCTGGCATTTGCAGCTCGCCATTTTTTTTATTGCTCGGTGTTCCCGTGACGTTAAATTTTTCACTAAACGTTTCTTTGCATGGTATCTTTCGAGGTCTTTTCTTTTATTTGCAGCTTCTTTTTCAGGATCCTTTTAGCGTCGTTCCCTATAACGTCGCTGCTTTTCAGCAGGCGTTAAAGCCATATAGAAAAGCGATCAACAGTACAAGTAAAAGTCCTGAAACCAATAATTTACCGTAAAACTTGTAAAATAAGATTGAACAATAAAAAATAACCACTGTGTTACTCAGCTTACAACTCTGTTACTTCCAACTAGTAACAGAGTTGTTCAGTAACAGAGTGGTAAATTTTAGATTCCATACAGAATTAGTCATAATACGAGTATAAGGCATAAAGGTAAATTATTGCTACATATTTAAAACATGCACACCTAAAACTTATGGATAATGTAAAATATAATAGTAAATATTGATTACTTACGCGAAAATATTGGTAACAGTGTGGTTGTTAAATAAAGACACGCTCCCCCTTCCACAACGCGCGGTGACTGACTCGTGTCAGTCGTTCCCCCCGCCCCCCCGAAATTTCTCGAACAATTTTAGACACTGCACCGAGGTTATTGCAGGCGCCATAGTAGCGCTATCTGTATTTTTTAAAGTAAACTACTATAGTAACAGAGTGTTGCTGTGATATTACATGGTACGCAGGACAGGGATTTTAAAAAAAGTAAAAGAAAACAATTCAGAACAAAATTTTGTTGTAAAGCATTGAACATGTAATAATAATTTTTATATTAATCATAATTTTTTTATATATCAATGTAGGAAAAAAGCAAGTTTTTCTACGTCTTTTTGCACTGTATTAATATCTGGGACATAGTGAATTTTTATGGAAAACACCTCCGTTACTAAAAATAACCACTATGTTACTTTTAAAAAAATGTGGAAAAATTAGCATAAAAGTTTATTTTATATAAAGTATGTTTAATTAATTAATTTATTTATTTACTATTACCTTGAGTTCGTAAAATTTTTGATATTAAAACAATAAAAATATGTAAATCATGAGGGGACAAGAAAACCTGCCAAAAATTTGAAAATGGCCCAATTAAATTTTAGTTTAATTACATGTTAGGTATGATTAGAATACGTTATTTTTATTAGTAAACTGTAACTAGTTGTATTTGATCATTGATAGTGAGTCAAATTGGTGCGTTGAATGATGACCGACATAAAAGCCTGCCAGTCATAAAGGAAACAAACAATGGACACAAGTGAGGATGTTTTGAGCTGTGCAAGACTGGCGTATGAACTCGCCGCCCATGAGTTGCTCAAAACATCACAGCCGATGTCGGTGTGTAGGTGAAGGAAGTAACCCCACATCACACTACTATCTATATATACTGATTGAGTGAGGGGTATTTGAGTCGGGCAGGATTGGCGTATGAACTTGTCGCCCACGATTGACTTAAAGTACCGCAGCCGATGACGGAGTGACGGTGAAGGAAGTAACCCTAATACCGCGAGGCTATAGTTAAGATTCAGTGAGAATGTTGTGCATGCTGTTTTGTATGTTGTCGGGCATGATTGACTAATAAACTAGCTGCCCATGAGTAGACTTATTATTATAAGTGATGCGCTGTGAGAGTGAAGGAAGTAGCTCCCAATGTGCACAGCTGTAGAATTAGACATAACACATTTTACTATGGTTGCCACTAGTAATTAAAATTGTGTGACAATTTATGAAAGTTTAGGAAATATTTATTATTGTACAATGTACCAAAAGTTAAAACATTTATATTGTTACGAGCTTGAGGTTCGTGACAATAAAAATTGCCGATAAAATTACCTAAATTAACACTTTAATTTACTTTACACAAATTAAAACTTAAAACACTAATAATTAAACACACTAATTCACTTTATTCCGCTCCGAAGCTTCGCTAGTCTCGCCAAATCCAATACTGCCCCGATCGCATCTTGCAGCGCCGATATATACAAATTAGCAAATGAAGCATCCGGAATATTCAAATAAATGCGCGCCAAGCGACGAGTGTTCGAGTGTAGATTTTCTAGAAACTTAGTTCTTCGGATGGCGCTGTCGGTTGAAAGATTTGTGATGTCATTTTCTGCAAAGCTCCCCTCGCTCTCGTTCCTGACACTAGATGGCGCTAGTGTATGACGTTGACTTATTCACGCCCCCTCCAAAGACATGCTCGTCCCGAGCATTATCGGTCCCATAATAACGCGCCAAGCGATCCACATGGACGATCTTAGGAGTCCCTCTTGCACCTTTCTGTATCCGGTAGGTCACATCGTTGATCCTGGTTACAATCCGGTACGGGCCGTCCCATTTAGCTTGAAGCTTAGGAGATTTTTGCTGCGGACTGGATTGTGCAACCACACTAATGAACCTTCGTTGAACACTTTATTGTTCATTTTGCGGTCGTACCGGGTTTTCATTTTCTCAGACATTTGCTGGCCCGATTGTCTGACGTGCTCATAAATGTCATTCATTTTGTTCCGCAAGTCATTTGCATAATCGGTTATACTGCGTGGGGCATCAGGTGGTATCCCGGTGATCAGGTCTGCAGGCAGCCGTAATTCTCTTCCAAAGTTTGCGAAAGCTGGTGTCACTGCTGTACTTTCGTGAACAGAACTCCGATATGACAAC